CTATCTTTTTCTTGCGTGCCTACCTAGGTTGGAAGCCTTGCCAAAAATACTAAAACCCACATGTGAGGCGCTTGAACCAGCGCCTAAAACAGCGCCTATGGGTGCTTGCGCGGGCTGTTGGGGCGCGCGAGCAGCAGCGGAGGCCAGCGGGGTTTTTCCCCCTCTTTCTACTTCGACTCTTGCAACTCCAAGGGCTCCAAGACCACTTTTTTAAGCCCCAATTTCACCATTCCTCATGGCACCGATGAAACTTTTTTATCCCACCTTATTCAAATCTCCAATACCCACTTCAAAAACTCCACCCAAGAATATCAACAAAATGATCTTGAAAAAATTCAAGCCTTGCCTCCTTTCTCTCAAGTCTCAAAGGAATGAAAAAAACTTAGCTCACAAGAATGGGCTCTCAAGGTTTTCAAGAGATGGATGCTCAATCTCAAAGTAATTGAAATGGGTAGGATGAAGAAGAAGGTCATATTTATAGCCTAGGGTTTTTAAAGAGGGAAAAACTCAAATTGAAAGTTATGGGCTCTTCTAAAAATCGTAGCAAAAGTGGAAAAAGCTTGAAGTATACAAAGCAAAAATGCATTGTGCAAGGAAGGAATCATTTAGCAGAAGAAGTTTCTACCACTTATAACTCAAGGAGCAAACTAATGCACTCTTCTCCAAGTTTCCTTGAACATGCATTGGGGGTAAATGATGGGTCAAGTCCAAATGACCCAATCTATGTGGAAAGTCCAAATCCCAATTGAGGAGCCCAACCTCATTAAAATCTACCAAGCTCAACACAGTCCACCAGTCAGACACTCTGCTTAGCCATGTCATCAAGAGGGAGAGCACGGGGGCCTTACCTGCACCGCAGAAGGAAACGGTTCACCCTCACCTTATCTTTGACCATATCTCATGGGAGCTCCTCAATCATCTCACCCATTGAGAAGAAGTTGTGAGCTCCATCGAAATAGTTGCTTAGTTGCTGAGAAATAGCCTCAACCTATGAGGGGGCTACTATAAATTGCACGCTCCACCAACACTTGGGGGGCATCACATATCACCTGAGTAAGACTCTCTCCTCTCTCTCTCAAAACTTGTACTCTCCGCTCCCCACACCCTTAAGTTAATAAAATACCCGACAACCAGAGTCATTGAAGAGTGGACGTAAATCGAGTTGACCGAACCACTATAAATTGTCTGTGTCTCTCTATCTCCTAATATTATTTTTTTGTATTTATTATTCACACTTGACAGATGATGTACAAAAATTATTTTATGCATCATTATATATTATTAATATATGATATAAATTAATAAATAAATTAAATACGAATGTAATAAGTTTTTATACGCCCGCGTCACTCGAAACGGGTGACCGGCCTAATTGTGAGACGCAACATACCTGCAATCCTGGGTGAGCGACTTTTGTGTAGTTGGGCGGTAACTGCCACGAAAAGTGGGACCCGCAATTAACGGCTACCATTGAAAGTTATTCTCTCTCAGCGTGTGTGTGTGTGTGACACTTGTATTGTATGTCGTGGGTTGTACTGGCAATCGATCCCTCACGTCATGAGCTCAACTTTGAATCATGCTTGGTGCATTGGGACATTACTTGTCCTTCCTTCCATCCATACCCATGCTGCATGGCTATATTTAAAGGTGTCAAATGTCTGAGATTAAATAGTTATACCTAGAATTAAACGAATGATAGATAAAAAATATATAAATTTATACATGACATATTTAATAAATAGATAAAAATTTTAATATAAATCGTTTAATAAATGAGTGACACAATATGACTCGTTTAACCTGCTTAATTTTAATTTATTATAAGTTTACTATTATATTTTTGTGACTATCATTAAATTAAAAAAAAAATTGTGGCTATCACTAAAAATAATATATATATACATATGTGTGTGTGTATTTTCTATGACTTTCACTAAAAAAAAATGTCTAATTTTTTAAAATAATTATTAATTTATTATTATATTAATTTTATTTAAACGGGATAAATGAGTAATAAATGAGTTGATAGAACTCACCTGAACCCGATCGGTTTATTAAATGTGTCTAACAGGTCAACTCGTTTATCACCCGAACCCGTTAAAGTCTCATCCAAACCTGCTTAATTTGTGTCGATTCGTGTCAATTAATTGTGTCGTGTCGAATTTTGATAAACCTAGTCATATTCGATAGAGCAAAATTATTATAAATTAATTTATTGACTGCACTATCAAGTGGGGTGGTTCAGTGGAGGATTGACGATCGTTACATTAATTTAATTAGGTTTATTTTCGAGAAGAGTAATAAACGTAGTTATGAGCCTTATGGTCCCATCAATAGAAATTTATCGGGTGATTTCTAGATGTTCTCTTTTATCTCTATCATTACTTCTTTGACTTTTGATTCAAATTTATACCAAATTAAAAAAAAATTATTTTAAAATCAAATCTTATATCAAATTTTTAATAATAACTTTTTAATTATTCAAGCCAAGCCTAAAAGACTGCTTCGACACCAAAAGACTGCCTCTCTCTTCAACGTTGCTTCCATCGCTAACCATAACAAGAGTCCTTCCATTTGTGTTAGTGGGAGAATGATAGAAAATACAAGAAAGTTAAATTTTTTTATGTGTTTGGTTAACATAAAATTAAAAATGATGAAAAAAAATAATTTTCTTTCATGTTTGAATTTTTTCACAATTAACCAACTTTTTTTTCTTGTAAAAAATACAAAGAAATGAAAGAAAGTTGTGATTTATATCTAACTTCTCATTTTTTCCTTATTTTTCTTAAAATATTTTATTGATTATTAATTTTAAAAAAATTTGGCTTGAATTTCATTAACTATATAATTTGGTCCAAAGACGGCGCCCGTTATAGAATTAGGTTACAAGTCACTAATTTTAAAATATTTTAACTTTCAATAATATTTTTCTTCTTTAAGTCAATTTAATATAATTAAGAATAATTTAAATAATTAGAAAAATTTTGTTGTAATTTTACTTTCTTTCAAACAATAAAATAGTTTTTTTTTAAATTTTCTTGCAATTTTTTCTCCTAATTAAATACATGTACAAAAATATATTTTTTATCATTTATTTTTTTTACTTAATTTTTTATTATTTTCACTTTTCATCGTTCTTTTCTTCCCCCCCCCCCCCCCCCCCCCCCCCCCCCACCCCCACCCCAACCCAAAATGCAAGACCTACATTATTCTTCGTTCCTTTCCATCTTGCGTCACCGTGTGGGGTTTTTTTTTTTTCCTTTTACTTGTTTTGAAATTCAAGCTATGGTTTGACATTCCTGGGTTCTTGTGGAGTGTGACTAAATTTATTTTTCTCTAGAATTACCATGATTATGGTTATGAATAAATCTTTAGATACTGATTTTTCACTTTGATTCTATAGATGAATCTTTGGTGCTTTTCATTCTGATAAATTTTTGAATATTGCCTCTCTCTTCAATGTTTTGGTAGAAATTATTTTTTTTTAAAAAAATGATTTTTTTGGGACAATTAGTGATTTTTTAAAAAATATTTGAATGCATATTAAGTTTATCTATTGGAATATTTTACACCAAATTAATTTTTTTTAATTACCCTATATACAAAAATAGAGTATACTTTATCCTTTTAATTTTTTTCATTTGATGACTCATGGTCATGGATGGGGAACATAAACTCCCAACTCCCTCCTACTAACACGTGTTGTATCTGAAATTCACAACATTTATTCAGGATTTATGTTGAAATTTTAGTTGTTGTTTATTTTTTTTGAAACTAGTGCCTTGCTAGGATAAATAAGGTTCCTATTTATCACTTTAATTGTTTATAATTTTTTTCTAAGAGTTTATTATCTCTTGAATGAACTAACATATAATAGTCACAATAAAAATAACAACATGTTATATTTTATATTTTATTATACAAAATTATTTAAATTTGTTAATTGTGTCAATTTTGAATTGTTATATTTGACACTAATCACATTTATTTATTATTCATGTTAATTTATCGTGTTTTTTTTATATTCGTTGAGAAATAATCAACTCTATCTCAATAATTTGGTATCGATTTTTTGAATTGTGTTTCGTCTTGTGTTAAAAATTGTCACCTTTAATTTGTCCGGGCTCATTGCAGATATACACTCTATAGGATCAGACATCCAAATATTTTTAAATTTACGTGCACTTCGACTAATTCCCTCTCTATTTCGATCAAAAATAATTTAGCTACGTTAAGTTGTAAATAAGGATGATTTGGAAACTCAAAAGTCTTAAGTTTGAATCTTGATATCCCCTTAAGGTCAGATCATGGGAAATAAAATCTCTTATAAATATCCTAAGCTTGTCGTGGATGACCTGTTTTTGATTGGACCGAAAAAAAAATTACTCGAAATGCGCGTAAATTAGTCCCGACACTCTTAATCGTTTGAACAAAAAAAAACTACATCGAGATTAAGAATTCATCCTTAATGATCTGATGTCAATGAATTATAAAGATTTCTTATAATTTTATCATTGTTCCAAATTTGTCTACAGTGTATGAGACTCCCAAATATTCACAATATATACACTGTAGATTGATATGGTTATTAAATATTATGCTAATTAATTAAATGTGATTTTAGTAATCTGTGAGTCACAATCTTTTCTTCTTCTTTCTTCAGTTATAATAGCCGGGAGAGAGAGATGCGTGATGTCCAAGCGAAAGGCACAAAAAAGTGAGCCCCATGTTCCAGAATTTCTCTGAGAAACGCTCCATCTTTACCTGAACTTGAACCCTCTCCACTCCACTCCACCACGCACACACCTCTCTGTCAGAGGAGCAGAGAGATACAGATTTCACCGACAGGAGAGATAGTGAGGCTTTTCTTTGTCCCAATTCTCTGTTTTCAAGGGGGGGTTTTGTTTGAAAAGAAGGAAACAAAGCTGGATTCGAGGAAACCCTTTTTTAAGTACATCACTTTAAATTTTGTGGGTATTGAGTAGTCCGATATATAGAGGGTGAGAGAGAGAGAGAGTATAAAAGGTATCTTGGTTGTTTGAGACTATCTCAGTTGCTGTTTGGATGGGATTTGGTCACGGAGAAGAGGAGGGGTCATGAGGAAGTCCTTTAAAGATTCTCTCAAAGCGCTAGAAGCTGATATTCAACACGCCAATACCCTGTACGTATAGTCTTTCTAGCGCCCTCACACTCTCACACCGGCACACGCACACGAATCGATGCTTATTATTCCAAATAGTTTGAGTTGTATAGAAAAATTGTTTGGTTATCTATCTTGAGATGAGAAAGTTGTCTTCAATTTTCGTTGCTCGTTCGGTTTCTTCAGTTCTAATTGAAGCTTAGGAGTTAGGACTTGGTTATTTTTCTCTCTGATTACTTTTTTTGTACCGTGATTGAGCTGTCGGAAGAGCTATAAAATCAACAACCCAGACGTCCTGAGGGCGTCTCAAATCGCAACTCTTTGGAGCTAGGCCATGAGGCCGGTCCAAATACCCTGACCAAAAAAGAAAAGAAAAAATGCTAAATTTGTATTGGTGGGTGAAACTTTATGCTTCCATTGAAATGAGGCTGAACCCAAAATTTCATGATGCTTACCAAAATCTGTTGCCATTTGATAATTTGATTTGGGGATGTGAAGGGATCTGCAAGGTTTTTTTTCCTTAGAGCTGGATGGCCCTTTAGGTGAATTGTTTTATTTATTACAGTGTTTGACTCTCTCTCTCTCTGTGTGTGTGTGTGAGAAACAGGGCTTCTGATTATCCAAGAGAATATGATGGTGCTTGCCTTCAGATGAGATTGTCCTACAGTCCTTGTGCCCACATGTTCCTCTTTCTAGTTCAGTGGACTGATTGTCACCTTGCGGGCGCCCTTGGATTCCTTAAAGTCCTAATTTATAAGGTCCTTTACATGTTGTATGCGCCTTGTATAATGTTGTGTATGACACTTATACGGCTTTAATGTCACCCACCCTTCTCTTTCTTGTCATTGAAGGCCATAACAATATGGGTGCTTGCAGGCATATGAGGATGGTAAAACTACGATGTCCATTCATGAAAGAAAAGCCAGCTTAAGAGAGTTTTATGGTGAGCAATTCTGCTTTAGAAAAATGATTTGATACTTCTTTTTACATTTAATTGCTTAAATCTTCTACATGCCTCTTGCGCAAAGTTTTTTGGTAAGCTTCGATTCTCCAATTGGCTTCATGGACAGGCGTCATATTTCCCTCTTTGTTGCAACTTGAGAGAGGAATTACTGATGTTGAAGATAGGAAACAGAGAGAAATATGTGCAACCAAATACCAAAAAAGATATGATGTGGACAAGGGCAAGTTATCTGAAATTGATATAGAGAGAGAGGAAGAATGTGGTATATGCATGGAGATGAATAGCAAGGTTGTCTTGCCTGACTGCAATCATTCTTTGTGTATGAAGTGCTATAGAAATTGGTAAGAGAACTGTTGTGCTTTTCCTTCAATATGCCATCGTCATCTAGTATCCTTCTTTTTTGCCTTTTGAAGTTCTGGATATCAGCTTTGTTTCATGCTAGAGACATTGCTGAATCATATTCATGTAGTCATTTGTTTGGAAACGAGCATAATACTATAAACAACTTTTTTCCTCTCCAAAACAGTGACAAATTCAATCAATTCTATTCTGGAAAACACTGCCAGCAATGGCTATTATGTAGCATGGATACCGGTTAATATTATTGATTGCCAAAAATCTCTTTGCTATAACATCTTGTGGAATAATTTGAAGATTGGAGAATTTTTTGAACTCTATCCCAGTGACATTTGGAATAATCCTGTATGATGCCTGAAACTTTAGCACCAAATTCACATATCCAACTTTCTGAATTGTGTACTGTGACACCATGTGGGAGCCTAGATGTTCTTTATGTTTCTTCCAAACGTTGCTGTACTTGCTACAGTCACTAGACTTGGGGGATCTTGTAGATGGAAACTTCATCCTCTGACGCTCTTCCTTGTGGTAGGACTACTCTGATTTCAGAATAATTCAGAAGTTTGAAAGCCACACCCTTCACATCAATGTTTTGTCCATTATATTAAATTTCTTTTGATCAAAGGTACAACTTCCATATAGTATATAGTGTTACTAGGCTGGATTCATGGAAGGTTGATAGGATGTTAGAAATCAATTGTTGTAGTCCTTTCACCCCATGTTATGGGGAGAAATGTTTACGCAATGGAGCTTAAGGTTTGTGAATTCTTAAGTACTTCGACCACATTTAGAATTCATATCAGTTTCCATTTGGAATTATGCTCAGGCATATCAGGGATGGCTATGTGGGAGTGACAAAATGTGGTTGTTCTATCTCCTACAGTGGTTATGTTGCCATTTAAGGTACATCACTTGACTAGGTGAGGAGTTCAAAATTCAAATATCACTAGCTGGTTGGACGGGATATTATTGGTTCCATACGTCATGTAGATATGCTTTGGAAGCAAAAGTTTGTGGAGCAGGGCATTGGAGCGGAATTTGGGAGCATGAGTGGTGGCTCGGCCTCAAGGTAGTTCAGGAGTTTGTATGGATTGGGGCTTAGTAAAAGATCCAGAAAAGGACCTGGTAGGTTCCCCAAATACATTGGTTTTCAGGGGAGATGGACACAGTGCCAGTCTTGTTCAATAAGTATGGTGTGGATCTGGAAGAGAGAGAGAGAGAGAGAGAGAGAGAGAGAGAGAGAGAGAGAGATGTTTCTCTGCCTCGCTAGTCTAACCCATAATTGAGCGGCTCTTATTGTAGATTTAGTACGATACACAGATTTAAGGAGATTTGTGGGAGGCTTGATCTCAGAATATGTACATATATACATGGACCGACCTGCTAAAATGCTACTATATGATCCAAGTCCTATAATTAGTTTCTTGTTCATCAATGATCAGAGTGAACAGAATATCAAAACTGATTATGTGCCCTTAGATTGAATCCTGGTTTAACTGCAAGTCACGATGATGATGGGAGCTCCTTCCATAATTCCTCAGGATTGCTGGGGTTTATCTGTTACATGCATGTTGCTGCAAACTTTTTAACTTGTGATTCAGGTCAAGATGTGGAGTGTCAAAAAAGGGGAATCATGTCACTCTTATGAGTCCATGGGGCATCACATTCTTCTTGACTGCAGCAGATTTAGATGTATATTGCTTAGTTAAATATACATTCAAAACATACAATGTGTAACTATATGCATAAAAGATCATATTGATTTTTTGAGTTGGATTAATGATGTCTTTATGGCATGGTTACTGTAGGCATGCTCGGTCTCAATCATGCCCTTTCTGTCGGAATAGCCTCAAAAGAGTGAATTCCGGTGATCTTTGGATCTACACTTGCAATTGTGATGTTATGGACACCGCTGCAATTGCCAAAGAGAATTTGAAGAGACTATTCATGTACATTGAGAAGCTGCCTCCTATATTACCGGATCCAATGTTGGTTACTTTTGATCCTCGTTCTTGATGAAAGGTGCATTCTACTATAATTGGTACATAATACCTGGCTTATTGTATATAATTTCAGTGTGTCTTTTGTTAGACAAATATTGAAAACTGTAAATATGTGTTGATCATTGTCAGCAAGCAGGCTTAGCATAGTAGCCGGATTACATTAAATCATTGATTTATAGAATCAATTCATTCTTGTCACCCCAATGTTGCTTATCTAGTTAGGATTACGCATGTCAAACTACAGTCATAAGAGTTGCTTATCTAGTTAGGATTACGCATGTCAAACTACAGTCATAAGAATTCACCTATGTTTTTCCGAGCTAAATTTTGTGACTAATTAACGTATTTGTGACCGCGATCATGAGAACTCGGCATATATTTTTCATGCTGAAGTTTGTGATTGGCTTCATGCCTACTGCATTGGTGCTTGAAGATTTGGAAATCCACCAAGAAAAAAGAATGTGGTTGGGACATCCATTACATTTTCTTCTACTTGGTTTGAGTTTAATCTTAAGTATGGTTGTATCTGGAACTATGATCACCCTCTCTCTCTCTCTCTCTCTATTCAATAGCTAGAGATGTTCGGGTCAACTTACGAATATTTCGACTAATTTCCTTTTCAGTCCAGTCAAAAGTAGGCTATTTATGTCAGGACTGAGATATTCACAAGGGATAAATATCTCTTTCTTTCACGAGCACGTATTGGTCGCTTAGGGGCTTTGGCATGTAAATTCCTAGTATGGCAGCTATGCTGGACGCTTGGAACTTGGCGTGTTAGGTGCTTTCAAGTTGCTCAAAAGTCCAAAGGTTGTACCTGATGTTTACTTTGCACTCAGCAATCATCTCATTTTCTTGTTTAAAATATGTTTACGTAATAATTAAGGAACGATTCTAGGACCCCTGGAGTAATCCAAAACGGACGAAAAAATGATTAAAAATGCTATTAAATAGACTCTCTCTCTCTCTCTCTCTACCCTTCACAGCCCCTCCCCCACTAGGAGTTTTGTCAACAGATCAGATTTTGATCTAAACAAGAATAGCAAGATACCGGTAGTTTTTCCTCCTGTTGTATTATTTTACATATTCGGATTTAAATTAACAATATTCAAATCGTTTGTCTCGAATATATGTAGATTAGTTGATTATTTAATAAAATTAATTTGAAATTTAAATGCAATTTGTAGTCGAGTTATTTGGATTGGATTTTCGAAATAAAATTTTTAATTTTAATGAATTTGAATCTTGAATGTAACATAAAATTTATTAAATTCAGATGAGTATATTAAATCAAATGTGAATTATTTAAACCTAATCAAACCTAGATATATTTGTCCACATCCACATACTTTAGAAGGCTGGAAACAGGATCGATAGGCTAATTCAAAAGAGTTAGCTCTGCCTTTTAAGTGATGTGGTGTTGGGTCCAAAGGTGTTAAAATATAACACTACGAACACGATATAAAATTAAAAGATTTACACCTATTGCATAAACGAACAAACTTGACATGACACAAAATTAGGTATAAGTAAAATCAATCAAAATAAATACACAACACAACACAACTTTGTGCATATACCAATTATATATGACACAAACCTGGTGTGACACGATCCGTTAAACACGAATTAATAAACGAATTGAATATAAGTAAAATATTTTTTAATACAAACCCACTAAGAATCGACACAAACTCACCTCATCCGACACAATTGACAGTCCTAATGGAGGGTTGGGACTGGGGAGTGAGGAGCTAGGTTAAATAGTTTTCAGATCGTATTTAAGAATCGTCAGTCACCTTCCCCCACTGCATTATGCTCCAGTAAATACCTTTTCAAGCATCAAGGCGGAGGGACCGGAAATCCCCAACTGAATCTGAATCTTATGAGAAAATTCTGCATTCAGAGTATCATAGCCAGGGAAATAGCAGTTGTGACTGCTTGATTAAGCTCAATCATTTGATATACCAAACATAACAGACCAAACAGTTTTTAAAATACCAATACCGGCATACCCTTGAGAAAGGTACTCAATAGAAGGAGGACATGCGCCAAGAGCAGCTATCGAAAACCCTTATGGTAGCAATATGCTAATAATCACATTCTTTATATACACACACATACTCAGTTATAACTAAATGGAATGAGAGAACTGACATGCTTAAGCCACCACATAAGGATAAGTTGGCACCATGACAACTTTAATAGTAGTAAGAAACAAACCCACTTGGGTGATGTATAGTGATAAGAGAAAACATCCTGTTCACCCATCCCATATGACAATACATGTAAACTAGGATCAGAACATACAATATCCAGTGTATTTGCCTGGATTAACCAAAATGCCCAAACTCAGAAAGCATCCCACTTTAATCATCATCGTCATCGTCATCGTCCTCCTCTTCCTCCTCATCCTCCTACAACATCAAGGCATTTAGATTCATATGGGCAAAAGTAAAAAAGATATAGGGTATCAAACCGAGTTTGATAGGAGAAAAATATTAAGCAGCAGAAAATACACCGTTACCTAGGAAAGTTATATAGCCTAAGCCTAACTTGTTTGATTGCAAAAGCTAATCATGCATCAACTTACATCTCATGCTGAAGTCTCCATAGTCATGGAAATTCCTACTTTTAAGTGGTCGCAAACTCGCAGACGACCACTTCCAATAAGGGAAATTCCTCTACAAACCCTATGGAACCCCATCTCCACTAGGCATTTGCTATCATTGGCAACACTTGGGACGCCTAGTAAGTTTGAAACATTCTCTCATGTAAAATTCTCTGGTTCAGGATGTTTTGAAACCTTTAGCAGGTAGGAAGGAAGGAAAGAAAGAAAGAAACAAGAAAAAAATTCATTTTCTCGAAACCCAATTTTCTCATAGCACTTCTATCAGTTTCTAAATCCATATCGTCATCCATGCATTTTTAGATTTTCTAATTATATACACCATATTCTACCTTTTTCTGCTTAATCCTTAAATTATTTGTTTGTTCCAAGTGCACACTTCCTTATTCAATTTGTGTTTTATTGCCCACTCCTGCTTCCTGAACTAGTACTGTGGACGAGTTCACACACACGCACAAATCCCTACAAAGAAGGAAGAGGACAAAACTTTTTGTCTTTTGAAATCGATAACCATAAATAAACAGCAGAATTATTAGGGACAACAGCCAAAAAAATACCATATATGGTTCAAAAATTCTTTGTTCTTGCCATTCTCTCTTTTTTTTTTTTTTTGGGTGGGGTGTTCGTTCAAGTAGCAATACCCACAAAACCATAATTAAAAAGGAAGAACAGAATTAAAAACTTCTCAATAAGTCCCAAGCATACCAACTAATTTTTGATTTTATAACGATGCTCTTAAAACTAGTTCCTCTCAGCCTCTCCGTTATCATGTCAAAATACAACCACAAGCCATAACATATAATTACCTCATCATCTTCATCATTAACTTCGGATTTTGACCTGTCAGATTCCTCATCACCATCGTCAGCCGAGCTTTCCTGCCAATTGAACCGTAAAACCAACCAATAAGTAGTAGATCAATGATTAAAAAAAGTTACAAAGGCTCGTGCAATGTGTTTACCTGCTTCTTGTTGTAAGCATTCATAATCTTTTCATACTCGGCCTTCTTTTTTGCAGCTTTGGCTTCGTATGGAGCTTTTTCCTGCCAAGACAAGATAGACCTCATCAGATCAGCCATAACAGCACAATATTACACTTTCCTAATTAGGGCCCCCTTATAAGTGGAAGACTACAAAATTGCATGGATTCTTAGAACTTAACTCTCCACAGTAATTAGTGGCCTTGATTACTTACTGACTGTATAATGGCAAATAACTACCCCAGGATTACAATATGGTCATATCATATGCCCTTTCTGTTAATCATTTAGTTCAAAAGAAAAAAAAAAACAGCACTATGATTAGACCGTTTCTACAAACAACAAATCTGTTGATACTGTGTCAAAGAAAAATTAAAATTTACAAAATGCCTCAGTTACTTACAGCTCCACTCATGGATTTCCACTTCTCTCCACCAGCTTTCCCGACCTTCAAGTGCAGTAATTGAGAGCAATGTGATTCAATATTCAACAGAAACTAATTGTACCGATGACACAAATTCAACTATAGAATACTAAAAAGCAATCCCCATGAATCACTTACAGCGGAGACAGCCTTCACATTAGGATTTTCCTTTTTGAATTGTTGTCTAAACTCTTCACTGCAATTCCAACATGACCCACATCAAAGTTGATCCTCAAATTATGCTTGAACATGATAAATGTAACCACTCATTTAAACAACGATGGAGAAAGGATCGATATATACAGGAACACAAAGAAAGCACTGGGAGGCCTCTTGGGTTTGTTTGGGTCTTTTTTGGCCAATTTTTCCTTCTTAGCATTTCTTTTGCTACTTTTCTCTGGCTTGGCTGGAGCCTTTCTCTTCCCTACCTTTCTGAAAAGAAGAGATACACACATGATCCGTCACTATAACATTCCTGCTACTGCTGTACTGACCAACGAATGAATATCAACATCAGACATCAACAGAACTCATTGACCCAACTTCAAACTTTTATCAACATCAAAAATATTACAAACAAGATGAAACATAAATTTGTCTAACCTGTCATCAACAGGCTTCAATGCTTCCTTCGTGTCCTTTCTTGTTGCCCCTTTACCCTTGGCGCCCTTCATTCTTACAGCTAAAATGTCTAAAAATCACCAACATTCATATCAACACACAAAAACCCATCTATCTCCTGCCTAATTCTAATACAATAATCAGATCACAGTCATGTACATATATGATTTACAACAAAACTGAGATTTATGCGTCACCAAAAGAAAAAAATGACATAAAAATGAAAATGTAAAACCCAAGCCTAATGAGAAAGTAGAATTTTGCTTATATATGTAAGTCAACGCACTATGGATAACAACAACATAATCATATGCCCCCCATAAAGACATATCATAGCATTTAGAGAATACAGGAAATTTTTCGTAGCTACTTCAGACATAATTGTCCTAAAAATAGCTTAATTAGCTGAAAATTGGAGGAAAAATAACAAAATATTTTCACCAAGAAAAAGAACTAATCAAAACTAACAGATAAAAACACCGAGTAGCGAATTTCAAATAACACAAGAACACAACTTCAATCTTAAAAAAAAAAAAAAAAGAAGAATACAAGAACACTAAGACAATTCCACAAATATGCATACGTATATGTAAATTTCCATATTTACATGTGGTTGGCGAAGAGAGACAGAACGATCCAGAAACGAAGTATACCTGGAAGAAAGAGAAGCGATCGGCGATCGCAGAGCTAGAGACAGAACAGAACGCAGAAGAAGAAGAAGAAGAATCACGCGACCAAAAAGAGAGGAGAGAGAAAGTTGAAGGGTACGACCAGGTGAGGAAAAAAGTGGAAACCGAGTAAGTGACCGGACCAGCCGGTAAAGCTATATGTGTTTTCCGCCACACAATGGAGGCACAGCTCAGCAAAAGGTAAAAGAGAAGTTACCGGCTATAACCGGTTGGTGAAAGATTAAAGGACACAACCTAATGCTACCTTCAACTGGGAACAGATACAAAAAGTTATGTTGGAATCAGGTTGTTACAAATTTATATTTTATAAATATTTTAATTTTAATGTACATAACCTTTCTTTTAAGTAAATTAAAAAAAAAAATAATTAAGATATATATAAGTTGGTCAGACCACTCCAAACCATCAAATCAAAAAAAATAATTAAGAGAATAGTAATTATAGAGTTTACTGTCTATTTGACACTTAAATAATATTATTTGTGTCAATTAAATCTTTAAATTATATTTTATATTAATTTAGTCCCTCAACTATTTAATTTGATTCAATGTAACATTTTCTTTCAAATTGGTTGTTAACTTGGAGAGAAACTTTCACCACCTCCCGTGCACATCAAGTGATGATGATGAGTGTTATTATACATTCGGTGACTAAATTGACATAAAACATATTTTAGGGGTCTATTTGATATAAATGATATTAGGGGTTAATTAAAAATAATATTATATGAACTTAAAAATTAAATTTGATAATTTTAATTATTAAATTAATAATAAATTTTAATAAATATTAAGATCTACAGTAAAATTAATTTAATTATTAAATTCCACGTAACATTTATCTATCTGAATCAAACTACGGTTTTCACGATTCACGATTGCGGTGAAGTGTGAGTGGCGCTGATTATTGCCGTTTAAGTTATCCCATGCAGGCAATAATGACAAGGGAGATATTTTGGGGACTGTTCATTATGTTGACACGTGTTCGACTCTGCAGGCCAATTGACGTTGAAGTTTTGGGACTCTTCATTCTTGTGTCTTCTTCACTAACATGCACGTGGCTGATTACTAGACCTGGAAGTCATTTTTTAGATTTTTTTAATAATTCTTAATTAGGAGTAATAATAATAAGAAAAATACTACATTACCCAAATAAAATCCAAAAATTAAAAACTAAATATATATCATATCTTGGATGAATGTGGGATGAGTGGATCTCACTGAAAAATTGACAAAACTCACTCATTCAAGAGATTTTATGCATTTGAATTGTGACTTTTTAGATTTTATTTAGATTTTATAACATTACTCTAATAATAATTATGGTCATTAAATAGTTAGTGGTTCGAACATTGAATATATTTCATTATCAATTTAATTATCACAATACATTAAATCTTTAAATTATGTCCCAAAAATATTAGTGAAGATAAAAACGTTGGATTGGAAATGAATGAATTTTTTTAGTATTAATCAATGAGACCTCCGTTGTGACATTTGACATTCCCTCCCCTCACTCCTCTCCCTTACCCCTCTCCCTTCCCCTTTCGCAAAAAAATAAAAAAATAAAAAATAAATTACACGCACATAGCAAATGCATAAAAAGGAAATGGTGTGTTTTTCAACTTAATACGAAGGAGACTGAAGGAGGAAGGGATGAACTTGACGATTATGGGTGAGAGATACGAATAGAAAGAGAAATCACGAGTTTCATTTGAGAAAGATCTAAAAGACAGTCAGATCTTCCTTCCCTAATTTTTCATCTTTTTGCTTTCTTACTATTTGTGATTAACAATTTTCATCAAGATTTTTGACTAATTTGACCTAATTGTTGAAGGGTAATAATTTATCTTTCAATTAAATGATTCTTTTGACATTTTTTTATTATTTTGAAAATGTCAAGGTGTCATTGTCTTATTCAGCACAACTCAAGGGGTTAAGAGTATAATTTATGCCTTTATCTATTACAATTGTCATTATTTACATTTACCCCTTTTTCTTGGTTTGTAAGACTTGCATCACTCAATTGAAGATCTACGCATATATATATAAAATCACGAGGACTAAGATATTAATAAGTGATAAATCCCTCGTTGCCCCAACCAGTTGACAAAGTTCGAATTCAAATCGTTTAATTTTACGACACGTCTTTATTATCACATAAACTATCTTTAAAATTATATAATGATGATATGCAATCACTGTCATCCTACCCAAAATGGTCCCCGTAGAGAGAGAGAGAGAGAGAGAGAGAGAGAGAGAGATTTTATGGTCTCCACCATTATTGCTTGTCAGCCACAAAACATCATCCAATGTGTGTTCTCAATATCGAAATACATCAGTTAGAACCAGCCAATCTCAATAGCCAGATAAGGTGTGAAACTCTCACATGCATAGCACAACATTTAATTAAATGTACTGGTATAATGGAGAAGATGAATAAAATTTTAAGGAAAAGTAGAATTTTCTAAAAATAAATTGGGGAGATAAGTGTAATTACTTAATATTTTTATGCGAGTTATGCATGAAATGGGGTATAAGTTTTTATAACACATGTAACTTATAAGTTTAGATTATATTATAGATGATGGATGAAAAGCATAAATAAGAAAACATGGGTAAAATAAGGTGGATAAATGTCCACCACGCATGAATTAGTGTTTGATTTTAGCTCCAAAAGACGGATGGATGGCGGTTGGTGAGGTTTTTTCATTTTGGTGGGTCATTGTGTAGTTCTTATAAGTTGTGTGTGTGTATATATATATATATATAGCTAGATGTGTACAAACAAAACATATATCGAAGTTTTCCTTTGGTGGGCCAACTAGAAACCACCTGGAGATTACTTGGTGCGTGGTTATAACACGTGTATGTGTGTGTGTGAGAGAGAGAGAGCAAAGCAAGCAATGGGTTTGGTGTCCTTATCATGTGTTTAGTAGGTAAAGACAAGATAATTGAAAAAATAAAGAAAATAAAAAAAAAGAGATAGGAAGATCAGAGAATGGGCGATGGAAGGGGAGGTGCAAACTGAGGTCTGTGAGCGAAGATTCAACGATTAAATTTTTTTCGGTTGCGATGAAAATTGAGTATATTGCTTATATTGTCATGAATCATAGATTTATTGGTTCCAATTCGCGATTAGGTATGTACAGTAAATATTTAATAATTTGAGATTTATGTATTTATTATATATATATATATATATATATATATATATATATATATATATATATTATTACTCGAGTTGACACTGGAGTAATGATTTAATATATGTTCAAAAGAAAACTTTAATTATTAGTCATAAAAATTACATGGGTATAGTGGTGTCAAATATAATATTACATGGTTAATCAAGTACAAATGAGATTATTTTATTTGAAATATTAATTACATGTGGGTATTCATAACCAATAGATGACATTAAATAGTTTAAATGCTACCGTGCTAATAAAGCATAAATTTAACTATTGAAATTATGAGACTGAAATTTAAGTTGCTGAAATCAATAATAAAAATAAGTGGATAAATCTAAGTGTTAAAATTCAAGTTGTAAATTGATGTTTGATGCTAGAATTTTTATAAAAACTGAAATAGTTTCCTTAAGTGTTGAAAAATAATAGTTAGATGAATGGTGGTGTTATTTACATACTATTAAAAAATATTAGAGTGAATTAAAGTAGTTCCTAATGTGGCTCAGATATACTAATTTGAAAAGATTAACGAAGTCAAAATATGATCAGCGTATACAACTAAAGTAGAGCATCAAATATATATTCATATGCGTTCATTTACATCAATTGAGTAATTTTAGGTCGATGCTCACTTGCATTTGCACATATGCTAATTATAAGGGTCGGAGGCTACTACATCAGTTACTCATAGGGCTCGACTGTAAAGCGATGAAGGTTATCTGTCAGAGATAAAGGTGAAATGTACTGCTTCATAATAATTGAAAATAAAAGCATATAATATATCAAGTTTATTCTCTTATATGTGAGAAATCAATTTTTTTGAATTGATTTGAGTTGAGTTGCTTAAACTATGGATCAAGTATGTTTTGTTGAAAAGCTTGTGATTTATTAAAAAGTTTGTGATTTGTTGAGAAGTTTGTGATTTGAGTAGTATCCACTGTAATAGAGTTGTTGATAGCTTGACATGACTTACATGTTGTTGATTTAGACACTGCACAGTTGTCGTGAGACAGTTTGACATTGCTTAAATGTTGTAGATAGCTTGACATTGCTTAAATATTGTTGATAGCCTGACATTACTTAAATATAGTTGCTGACTCATAACACATGTGGACTATTTATTATGTTGTTACATTGGCCGTCATTATGAGATTTCAAAGTGAGTTGAAAGTACTTTGATTTTGATGTTCTCCTCAGATTGTGAACATATTTTGGTGAAATGATATTTGTCCATATTTTTAATATTTTCATTTATTATGATACACAGTACACTCAAGAAAATATTTAGTTTCAGGAATCTAAAGTTTATAGTGAGTTCATGTTGAAAGTTGTGCTAACTTTATTAGTTTAATTTAGTTTTTTCACACATGGTTCATGTATATGGTTTGGTACATTAGTGTAATTCAAGAGTTTTTTTCTTAAGTTCAAGAGTCATTAGTAATATTCATATATAGAGTCTAAGGGTCATTCATGAATCTACTTATTATCTAGGGTTGTGTACTTGTCTAGGTACATGATAGGAGAGTCCTATAAATTCTAGTAGCATTTTGAGTCATGGGGGGTGTATCCTTGTAGATAGTGAAAAGGCGAAGTACTATGAAATAAAAGTTCATGTGTTCTTCTTCTAAATGATTCTTGGTTCTAATTGTTCTTCTTATTCTAAGTTTTAATTCTTCAACGGTCATGGGTGTGCAGTCTAGGGTTTTAGCTGCATTATTGAAGAGTGTGATTCTCTCAAGTTGGTGTCAGAGCAGTGTTAAGGGCTCGGTGCAAGTACTATGAAGATAGGACACAAGAAGAATATTTTTGTTGATTAGTTCATTGCCTTGATGGACGTCAATGGTGCTTCTTTAAACCAGTTTGGTGTGGAGAAGCTGAATAACTCCAATTACCAGTATTGGAAGCTTTGTATGGAG